CCCCAAAACCCCAAAACCCCATAAGAAATATTTGCTCAGAGGAATCAAAAGTTAAATGATTATATATTATCTTGATGACGTGGAGTGATTTATAAAGTATTTATTAATTAAATGAGTTAAAACACTCCTAACAGGACCCCAACAAAGGTCAGTGAAACTGGCTCAGAAAGTAGTAATGAAAATAGAAAGCAAGAAATGAGAGTATAATCAGCAAGGAGACTTAGATATCAGATAAGAATTTTTTTGCTGACCTTCTTTACTTATGCAACATTGCATTTTACAAGAGAGTCCTGGTCTATTTTGAAACCTAAGATCCAAATTTAAGACAAAATAAGTTCATCTTCCCTTGGGATAATGGATACAGCATTCTTATCGTTTTACTCTATTGGCTTGTTCATAGGTGGAAATCTATGTGATCACTACAACCCCAAATATCTACTCATTGGTTCATATATAGTAGTGACAATAGTAATTACCATAATTGGATTGGCAGCTGAGAATGGTTACACAAACACATTGTTGTTTTCTTTCCTATTCTCCATTAATGGGTTCATGTAATCAATAGGTTGGCCAGCTTGCGCAGCAATATTTGGCAATTGGTTCGGAAAGCGTGGAAGAGGAACTCTAATTGGTTTGTGGTGTTCTTCCGGTAATGCTGGTAATATTGGGGGTGCCTTATTAACTAGTTTCTTAACATCAACAATGCTTTACAATTGGAGAATTGCATTTATCATTGTAGCTAGTCTCTGTACAGTCACCGCTATTTTTGACGCGTTCTTTTTGGTAGTCCATCCCTAGGAAAGAGGTATTAAAATTGAGGAATATGATGAAATATTAAATGAAACCGAGAGATTGCTGACTGTGGAAATGGCAAGGGATCCTACCGAATCCTTCTTGAGAAGATAAGAATTTGATGGTATCTAATCTTCAAAAGGAGTAAATTTTTGGTAAGCTTTAAAAATCCCAGGTGTAATGTAATACTCATTGAGTTACTTCTGTCTCAAATTCTCAAGCTATGGATTATTATTCTGGTTGCCGATGTTTTTACAAAAATCTAACAATTATTCTGATTATGAAACAGCATATTGTGTGTCTCTTTTAGATGTGGGATATGTCTTAGGTGGAGTACTAATTGGATATATCTCTGATTTAATGTATTGCAGAAGAGTTCCAGTCGCAGTTCTTAGTATAATGATTGCAACTCTGCTTCATGTACTGCTTATAGTCTCTGATCCATCAATAATGTGGTTCTTTTTAATTTAAATTCTTATCTTGGGAACCTTAATGGGTGGAGCAGTAGCCATTGTATCAGGTATATCTTGCACTGATTTAGTAAGTATATGTCTTTTAATTGAATTTAGGGGAAACTCAAAGAATTGAGAAGCAGCGAGAAAGCTGTTGCTACTGTGACAGGTATTATTGATGGAATAGGTAGCTTTGGAGCTGCTGTCGGTCAAATATTGATTGGGGTGTTTGAGCAATATTACGGCTGGAATTCAGTTTTTATTATGATGTCGATAATGGTATTCCTTGGAGCAGCTCCCTTGATGAAAGCATTTCACCGAGAAATGAAAGAAGTTATCACGCTTTTCAAAATTCATAGAAGAAGAAATAGAGCAGTAAAAAATGGCTATAGATCACTTGACTCCGATGAACAAATAAATTCATGAACATATAAATATTGGTATTGATATATAATAAAACTTCTCCTCACTTAAAGTTAATTCGATTTATATTTCTATATCTTAGTAATTCAATCAAAATCTTTAGATGGGGTTTTGGGGTTTTGGGGTTTTGGGG